GTATAAAATCATTTTAAATATAAAGCAAATAGGTCTGCTGATAGAAGTCCCCCTTGGGAGATTCAGAAATTACTTGAATAGGTTTAGAAAGTCGTAAATAAATAATACATTAATACATTAGTATTATTAGGGAATGTACAAGAAGATAGTTTAGATATGAGCAGGTTTGAATGGTTAGAGTTTTTATGAAATTTGTTATATTGATGAAAGGCAAGGAGAATATTGATGGTATATTGAGGTCTTGATGTAAGGTGAGGTTGCTGACSTACCAGGGAGCATTAGAGAAGAGGACACRAAGAGATATTGTGTATATGTTATTGCAAGGTGTAATATTTATTGGTAAGAAAGGTTTTGGATCGGAAAAGTGGTCTTAATTTGAAAACCTAAGATTAAGCAAAGTTCTTTTAGCTTTGATGTGATTAGTCCAAGTTGGTCTTTTGTGATGAAGGAGACCTAARTATTTAACGAATTCGTCCATTGGAATAATTTTGTTATTTATGTAAATTGATGGATTTGTTGTAGGCCTGAGGGGTAAAGGTGGTGTCAGTGGATTTTTTTTGTTAATTTTAATTTACCATAAACTGAACCAATCTATTTGAAAAAGAATGTACCACAGTATCCAAGTCAGATAGGTTTTTTAAGTGGATGTCGAGAGTGATAGCTTTTTCTATGGTTTGGCTAAATTTTTTCCAATTTGTTTTGCCTTGAGTGATGTTTAAGTAGTTTTTTGTAGSAGTTAGTGTTGTTTAAGGTAATATTGGTATGTCTGAAGAGAAGTCTKAGAAATTGGTAATAKTGTACTTTATTTGACTAGGGAGCGTAGTGATTAAAGTCCAGAACGTCTGGATAATTTTTGGCATGGAGAGCCAATATATAGGGTAAGGAGGAGATATTATTTTTAGGTAGTGATCGAGGATAAATTTGTTGAGAGTTCGACCTCTGGAATTAAGTTGGCTAAAACTCCGCCAGGGTTATAGTGTACATCTTAAGAAATATAAAAAAAAAACTTAATGAATATCTTTTAGCTACTAATTTATTATAATTTGCATTCTACTAATTATAATATCCTTTTTTTTTTAATGCTTACAGCAACAACCTCAACAGCAACATCAAAACCAACCACCACTTCAGCTAATGGGTGTACAAAACAAACAACAACAACCATTCAGATTGCAGCCGCAACAGCAAAAAAAACGTTTATACAGATGTCAAGTATGTTCTGCATCTTTTGATACTAGATCAGATTGCCTGGAGCATATTCATAAGGATCACAACCAGCCACAACCATCCACGACAGAGGTAAAACCAATTCTAATTTCCAAAATTCACTTATGCCTTCTTAAATTATTTTTTTTTAGGAAAGAGAAACTGAAGTTACTACTGTAAATGAAACTGCGTCAGCATTACCACATAATATATCTAATTCTATAGAGAATCAACAAGTGGTAAACAATGATGATGCTAATCATTTAACCGAAGACAAAGGTACTATGAACTCGAATACGGACTTAAACATGTTGTTAAATGACAATATCCCAGATGAAAGCTCTGAAGTTCCTGTGCAAGAGGTACAGAATATTCCTGAGAACATGTCTGACCAAGCCGAACAACTTTTGCAAGTTACCCACGAAATTTCTGTCACAAACGTTGATATAGGTGACATGGCGATTGGAGGCGGTGAAACTGGAACAGACCATTTGGATATTGAGTCAATGTTGGCTGCCATTCATAATGATGTCTCTCCACCAAATGATGGCGGAAATCCACAAAATTTGTTATAAAAACTTTGTAATTGACTAATTCATGTTCTATCTTAACTATTATTACTTGATAATAAATTAATTTGATGCATTTTTTTTTTATACTTGACAATATTTATTAAAATTGAAAAAAACTAGTACAAATAATAATTAAGTATTTTTTTTTATATATAATGAAGTATTTTGAAATAAAACATTTTTGGAAAAAAGTATACATATTCATTTGGACTAAAAAGTTATTTCTAATTCAAGTATGTTCATTGTAGTTGTAGTAAATGGTTATTTTTTAAGGAGCTCTTCCAACTTGCCATTTTGGGACATCTTTTTTACGTCTGAGCCACCACCAATAAATACACCATTCACAAATACACGTGGCACCTATAAACATAATAAATGTGATAGTGAATTATATGCCAATTATTAAACGTCAATAGATTTACCGAACGAGCGCCAGTAATTCCTTCTAAAGCATCTTGAATGTCATCCATATCTTCTCTCTTATCTAAATCAATCGATTTGTAGGTAGCTTTCAGTTTGTCAAAACACTTGCAAATTTTATAATTCAAACAAGTTGTAAATTATCTATGTATTATGTAGATAAATATTTAAACACTTACTTCTTTAGCCATCTGACAGTAGCCACAGTCTGATTTCGAGAATATAACAATAGGATCGTGCGCAATGGCATCCTTAACAAACTGTGTAGCAGCCATCACTTGAGTTGGTGAGRGTATTCTTTTGCTGGAAAGTGAACCCATTAGTTGAAATTAGTTATATATTGAATCGTTTAATGCGTATTCACAAAAGTGCAATGGATAATGATGCAATCAGTATTTTTTGAAAGTAATTTGTCTGTCAAAACATCAACTAGTTAATATAAGTACTATAGAACAAATAAAAGCTGTTGACCTAGTTGGCTGAAAACTCAAATTTTTAAGCACAGTACAACTATAATATTTTTAAATGTAAAACATAGACCAAATAAGCAGGTGGATTACAGGTAAACAAGCCCGGCTAGAGGGTTGTCAACATAGACCCACACCTACGGTGGTACTTCAAAACAATGATATTATTATTTTAGGAGTGGCCAAATTTGATTTTGCTTAGTGCACAATTTAAACTTGAGCTGGCCTTGCAAGTAAAGGCTAATACTCAAGTTTTATTTAAATAATATGATTAAGAATGACATATTTTCTCTAATAGCCCATGGGCGACCGAAAGGAAGATATTTGCCTTAAAAATAATAAAATATAKTTTGTTTAAATTATAATAATACTGAAGCATTCATATAACAATTTCTGAGGGTACCAATAATAATAGTAAAATAACTTATATATTAAATACATTTTTATTTACATAAATGAATAGATTAATTAAAAATAACATAAATGATTACATGCATTTTCATTGATGCTTGGTATAAATTACATTAATTGCAAACATTATTAGTACTATACTCTTATTGCATGTTATGTAGTGTAGTTAACTCTTAAGTGCCTATGGTACAGTAAGTATGTTCAAGTAATTTAATTATTGTTTAGTAATATATCTCATGTTTAATTATGAAAATACTATTTTATAAATATAAATGTTTGAAAAAGTACCTAAGTCAAACTACGATTTTATAACCATTTTATAGTTAACAATTCAGTGGCGAGGCAAGCTATTTTAACACAAGGAGCAAAGATTTTAGTCTAGGTACCCAACCACCCAATATTTTATCAAATACACAAAAAATCAGATTATCTTGTTGCTTATTTATATCATAGTAGGATATAGTTACATTATTACTTCTAGTATATGCRTATATGATCAATTGTAATACCCACCCACCCAAAATTTGGAGGAACGACTGCTCTTCACCACGCCACTGGTTAACATAATATACTTTCGAAATGTTTTTAATATCATTATTTAATATTACTTATTATAATTGTAAGGATTGATAATACTATATTTTTGTACTTAGTAAATTTAGTTTATTCATTGTATTATTTGTATTTATACTTATTTTATTGAAATACATTTTAAGTGAGTAGTGTTAAATACTTAAAAGAAATGTACCATTTAAAAAAATGCTGATCATGCACACTTAGCTACAAAGCTAAGATAATAATTGCWAAAATTTTTATTTATTTAATTTACTGTAATATCTCCCAAATAGTTTTATGCAATCCTAAGACTTATTTTATAAGAGGCAGTTTAAGAAGTTCAACTTAACTGTGCATGACAATTGTACTAGAAAATAATTGAATGATATTCAGCACGAGAGAATAATTGTCATTCAGAGCAGCACACCCAAAAAAACCAACCAATTCATTGTTTTATTAAAACAATTGAATAAAATGAATTCCTCAGAATATTAAATTGACCATGTTATGAATTATCAAAAAGAAGGAAACACATACAGGTGTAACTTTAATTAAAGTAAATACAAAAATAAAATTAACTGTTTAGTTTATGTATATATGGGGCCAGCTTGAAGGTTGTTCGAGCTRTGCTGTGGCTCTGTTTTGGAAAAATAAATGATCGGATGCATAGTTCATATTGCATTCATCTAATGATTCTGATTCATAGAAAGCYTCGAAAACAGATTGTATCTGAGAAACACCTAATACCCAGCCGCAAAAACATTTAACACAAAGTCCAGACATTTTTACCAAACCAGACCTGTATAGATTACATTAATATAAACAATGCCACAATGGAAGGTATTTATCACCACTAGTGTTCGTACCAACAAAYTGAATGATCACTTCTTTTTTTCAGTGGCGACTATCGCAACAGTCAAGGAACATCCTGTGATATTCACTTTCAAATTTGGTGGGCTCGTCAGAACAATATAATATAATGATGTGTGAACAAATACAATTTTAGATTTGAATTTTTGTCACTACTCGTGCAGTTGTCTATTATACCTAACTACTGTGAATTTATTATAATATTTCTACAAAACAGATAGTAAGCACGATGGACRGATGCACTTTAATCCTCTCGATACATGCACTCTAAAGCCACCGACCCGTTTTTTATAGCCAAGCGCAGTAAGCTGTATTAAAAATTTTTAAGTTTGATAAATKACATTGGACATAAATTTATGACTTTAAATACGGTGATAATAAACTGCGTATTTTTTCAAACGACGGTTTAAATTAATACCCACCAAACAACACTTTTTTAAATACCTACTTAATACAATTAAATGAACCCCGTAAGCMGTAAGCGATCAAAATTATTCGAATGAACGCAATACAACAGTACCTACCTAATATTTTAAGATCTAATGATTGAAAACATATAAAAAATGTCACATGGAATGTTTACAATATCATACTTACTTATGTATTACGGAGCGATTTTCTAATCGAAACACTTTCGAAACTAACGAGCGCGAATGTCAAACAATAAGATATTTATAATAATTAAAATTAATTTGTATTTATA